ATTTTCATCTTTACAATTTAGAATGATAAGTGTCGCCTATTAAAAATAACATGTAACAAAACAGATTGATGGTTTTACTTACCTTTTCAGATTGCATTTAAAAAAAGTAATTTCAATTCCAATTCACTTTATAAATTTTGAAAAGATAAAAAACGAAGAATGCACTACAACAATGTAAAATTTCGGGAATTGTTTTATCAGATCGACGTATTTTGCTTATTTGTTAGCTTAAAAAGACAAAAATTCCGACTGAAATTATTTCTTACTAGCTGCAAGTATCCGCTTCGCTGGGTTTTTATTTGTTCGTACATTTATATGCAATATAGTTTATATATATATATATATATATAAAAGACTGTTTCTTTTCCTGTACATAATCTTTCTGTGATTCAATGTGTTTCCCTATAATTTTCAAGTTGCTCTTCTGTCTGATTATCTCCTTTGCTACCCATGTTTCGATTCAAATGCAACTAAGAAATTCACAAAAAAATTATTTTTTGTATGAAATAATTATTTCCGCTTTAACGCGAATCTAACATCCAAAAAATTTTCCGGGAAATAATTCTCGCAGAAGAAAAAGTCCTCCAAAAAGTGTTTTTATAAAAAAAAAGTATATAAAAAATATAAATAATCTATATATAAATGAATGTATGTCTGGCTGTGTATGTGTCCTTCATGCATTACCACACCGTTTATCCGATTGCCGCGAAACTTTGGGAAGTTGTTTAATGTACTCCAGCGAAGGTTTGTAACATAGTACGATTGCAAAGAAACTTTGNCGTATTATAGGAGTTATTTTTACCGTTGTTTACGGATAATGCCACAATTTTTATAGGAATCATAACTATAGGAAACGGTTTTATAGGGGGATCTACTGTATTTTTTCGATAAAAATTAAAATTTTAAAATTTTCATCTTTACAATTTAGAATGATAAGTGTCGCCTATTAAAAATAACATGTAACAAAACAGATTGATGGTTTTACTTACCTTTTCAGATTGCATTTAAAAAAAGTAATTTCAATTCCAATTCACTTTATAAATTTTGAAAAGATAAAAAACGAAGAATGCACTACAACAATGTAAAATTTCGGGAATTGTTTTATCAGATCGACGTATTTTGCTTATTTGTTAGCTTAAAAAGACAAAAATTCCGACTGAAATTATTTCTTACTAGCTGCAAGTATCCGCTTCGCTGGGTTTTTATTTGTTCGTACATTTATATGCAATATACTTTATATATATATATATATAAAAGACTGTTTCTTTTCCTGTACATAATCTTTCTGTGATTCAATGTGTTTCCCTATAATTTTCAAGTTGCTCTTCTGTCTGATTATCTCCTTTGCTACCCATGTTTCGATTCAAATGCAACTAAGAAATTCACAAAAAAATTATTTTTTGTATGAAATAATTATTTGCGCTTTAACGCGAATCTAACATTCAAAAAAATTTCCGGGAAATAATTCCCGCAGAAGAAAAACCCCTCCAAAAAGTGTTTCTACAAAAAAATTATATAAAAAAAATAAAAATAATTTAAAATAAATGCTTTTATTTAAAAAAAAATAGATGTAAGGTTTATTATTCTTTCGTTTAACAAGGCGTGAAATATCACACGTGCAGTCTACATTGTTTACAATTTGGTTGAGCTTGAGAACAGCTGGAGTCCACTTTCCCGGGTAGTTCTCTTGTAGGCTTCAGGGAATTATCGGTCTGAAGCAGGAGGGGAGCTAACTTACCGCATCTGTTCAAATATAACACAATATTGTCGATTTTAATGCTATTAAATTATGAGGAAACCGAAAAAATGGTATGGGGAAAAATTCTACTGAACAAAAACAAAAAACCTGCTGATGTCATAAAAAACATACAATAACGTTTTAAATAATTTTACCGAAGTCAAATGGGTGAAATAGAAGTTTAGAACGATTTAATTAATTTGATTAAAAAACTCCCATAAAAAACAATAGCCCGATTAATTATCTAACTCAGTGATGGGCAAACTTTTTAAAGAGCGGGCCAAAGGAAAAGAAGGAAACTTTAGGCGGGCCAATATAATTGTAACCTAGCTCTGCATCTGAAAATCCAGGTGGCGCTATAAAAACATGTGCAGGCCGTCCGCCATATTTCTTTTTCTCTCTTTCGGCTACGCTACGCACGACGAGTGGATGTTCTGTACCGAAGCATGCTTGTAACCGATCGAGCTTTTACTCAATTAGTGTAAAACAAAATTTTGTACATGATTGTAAATAAACTTTCATGGTGAGATATGAAGCTTCGGTTATTTTGTATAATCAACGAACACTCAAGTTAAGTGGTGCATCAACCACTACAGCCTGTATTCTTTTTTACTGGTCAGATTAGTAATAATGTCGCACGGGCCGGTTAGAACATTTCAGGGGGCCGCATCTGGCCCGCGGGCCGTAGTTTGCCCATCACTGATCTAATTAATATATCGTCATAAAAATTTCCTTAGCAAAAATAATTCATGAAATTTGCACAGATCATAGATAACGATGTATATATGCTGATGTATATATGAAGATTTTAAAAACCAGAAATGGTGATTACCTCCATTTCATAATCTGATTCTTATTTAGTAACGAAAAGTCCTGCTACTCAGAATGCCAGTCCGATTCAATTGATGTGAGCGGAATCGTGTAATGCATTTAAGAAAAGACAGATGATGTGTGTTTTTTTCACCTATAGCCTGTAAGATTTCTAGGTCGTTTTCGAAATTGTTGTACTTCTTTTGCTCTCTAATATTCTTGACTTATTTACCTCGGCTGCTTTAATAAAAATATCAAGCTAATAGTTAAATAATTTGGCAGTTCGTTTGTCTTTAATAATCAGGTTTACGAAGAAATTATACTTGCAGACTTCGACTATTGATCATACTATCGTAGATCTGGGTAATATGAGCAAATATAACTTTATTAAAACATTGCTGCAGTTCAGAAAATAAGTACATTATGGTACCCAAGTACTTGCAGTATGAAGATAAATCTGTAAAAAGTTGACTGTGACAAAACAGTCTGTACATTATTCAATTTTGAAGAAACTCGGCGTTTTATTTTAAAATGTTTATATTTCAAAATTGGTTTACCCTACACACACACATGTAGGGGAGTCCGGGACAAGATCGGCATGTTAAGCTTTACTTAACTTTTGTGTAAAAATACTGCTGTAAACTGAAAAAAAAGCTTTGCATATTGTCTATTGGAATGTTTTGTTACTATAGAACTGGTTAAAATCAGTTTCGAAATAAAAATAATTAAAATAATTACAACTTTACAAGAAGAGAGAAATTGACGAAATTGCCCCAGGTATAGGGCAAAGGGCAACTTCGGCAACTTCTCTCTTTTTGTACAGTTGTAATTATTTTAATTATTTTTATTAAAGTTGCCCCTGATATAGGAGCAACAGTAATGGCACAAGATAGGCACGTATAAAATTATGTTATTAACAATGTATAAGTTGGAATTCACTATTAAAGCAAAGAAATACAAATCCAACACCCATTTAATATTATTACAACGAAATGCAAGTTCAAAGACATATATACATGAATAACAAATGCAAACATGTTTTCATTTATCATCTGTTTGATTTTTATCCTTTGCTTCTAATGTGGCTTTATGTTGCCGATCTTACCCCGCTAGTCATGATTTCGAAACNGCCCAGGAAATCAGGCATCTGTGGAGGATGGATAGGGTGCTTATTGTACCTGTCGTTCTCTCCTGTACAGGTGTGATACCACACACGCTACACAAAAGCCTGGGAACATTACAATTGAGTAGAAATACATACATCACACTACAGAAGGCCACTATATTGAATACATGCCACATTGTTAGGAAATTCCTAAATACAGACACACACACTGACACACTTATTTAATTTTAGTTTTGTTTTGGTTGCTATGCCTTGACTCTGGTCCGGCATAGTACACAGCCACCGGTGTGAACCGAGTATAACTAACAAAACCCAACATAAAAGTAATATTATATATTTATATAATTACTTATCATTTTCAATTTTATAGATCTAGGCGCAGTCGAAATGACAGATAAAAGAAACTTACAGCTTTTAATGCGACTTTTTCACTTTTTAATTGCTCATATTTCAGTAGCTATTTATAAAAAGCCTAAAGTTTTGCTCACTACCTAACAAAACCATTTGATTTCGAACGAAATATTCACAGTTATGATAGAGATATCGGGAACAGAAAAATCGGCTTAAGGAAATCGGAAGCTTGATTCCTCTGTAAGTGTCTATTAGTGAATTTTTCACAAGTTTCTTCTGTCGTTACACTCACTAAATTACAAATATATTATCCATAACTGTTAAATCCGTATATCTTGTTTCAACAACCATCCCATAAATCGTTTGGTTACCCGAAATGTAAAGAATTTCCATTTTTCATCTAAAATTTCTGTGTTCAGTAAGTTCTCAATACTGTGTCAAGCCTTAATAAGAACTAATCATATTGGTCAATAATTAATTAACAATAGTGGAATAAGGAGCATAATATTCGTTTCTTATTCTAGTTAAGTTATAGTTACTTTAGTTTAGTTATTCCTATTCTAAGTCGTATCGTCCTCGCGTAATATAATGTCCAAATTGAGTTCACGTTCTTCTCTTTACTCAGAAGTAAACTTCTACCTACTGTTAAAATGAGTTAAAAATCTGCGACACATTCAATCCCGTAAACGTAAATTTATTCAATTAAAGCTATGACTTAATTTCAAATAATTACTTTTTAAATTCTGTTTCTTACCAAAAGTATTGTTCTGCAAGTGTACAGTACTTTTATAAAATAATTTATACCATAAATTAATTAATACGAGAATTTTCCAATACTATTTCATTCAACTGTGCTGTAACTAATGTTGTATTAGTAATGTTTAATTTTCGTCTGTCGCAGACCAATGTAGAAAAATTTTAATAATTTTTGACGACTTTTTGAACTTATATTGTTTTAAAGTTAAATGTCTAGAATTAACTAGATTTGTGAAATTGTTTCTCGTGTTCCTTTAAAGAAATTTCGTCAGAAAATTGTTGTCCACAATGTTGACATTCGAATTTATCTTCATCGGTTTCCATCTCTGGGAATAATTCCAGTTGTGAGGATGTTTCAAACTTCATAATTTCTAAATCGATGTTAAAATCTTTAAGAAATTCTTCAGCTTCTCCTGGTGTGAAAATATTCTCTTCTGAAGCCACTTGTTCAGATTCAATTGATCCTCTTGCTTCAGAACTTGTTGATGGTGTCTGAAAAACATCCGATTGCACTTTTTGGCCATGTTCTGTGTCTTTCTGAAAGTAAATAGTATAATTAAAAAGTGCAATTCAATAAACGCAAATACATAAAATTTCATGTAAGTTAAAATATTTAAATTATTCATAATTTTTGTAAATCTTTTTGTGAGAAAAGAATTCTTATGCAGAAGGGAATACCATTCTCTTTTGCATAAGATTCTTTAAATCTATCTTTGTGAGTTTTAATGGTTTGTGAAATAAAAATATTTATTAATATGTTCTGTAATTTCTTATATGTTTTCACCATAAAACAAAAGACTGGTGAGCGGCATATGACCCGGATTTCAGTTAATTCCATTATCAGTAAATAATAAAATGTACTTTTTTATCGTACAAATTGTGTCTTTATGATAAGTTCTCTGTAACAATTTTCTTCTGAATTGCAAAGAACAAACAGCAAGCAAAAAACCAATAAGCAATTCAGTGCGAAAGCTCAAAAAATTTCACAAATTAAACAGAAATTGTTTTTCTAAAAAACTTATCTAGAGAAAAATATATTTCGAAACAATTATTACGATTAAACTTATTTCAGATAATTATAATAAGTAAATTTAAGCTGATGGCTGCTGGTTATCGAATGACTAAAAGTTATTACTATTACTATAAGTACTAACTTACGATAATGACCTTTTGTTTTCTATTACTACTTTAAATGAACAAGAATGCAGTGTTATTTTATGAATGAAAGTTTACAAAATAGATGTATTTACAGTAATCACGTAATAATGTCACCTAAAAAAATCTGAGAATCAATTTAAACAATTTTTTACAAGCTACATAACTATTATTNAAATATCACATAAAAATGGTCGTTTTCTTTTAGGATATATCAGGTGCCATATGAAAGCAGATGAGGATTCAAAACTTTTACCGCAGGTATCACATTTATGGTTTCTTCGTTTCGATTTTAGTGGTAGCTATTTATTAGATATAGAAAAAGAAAATTAAAATATTAATATTTTAAAAATGACATTAAATTTAAGTATATCTTGTAAAATTTTTCTATTTTGTATAAATTACGGACGCTTTTTTGATAATTAGTATTTACGATCTCTATGTAATACGTCTCTGTAATCCAACAAATGACGGACTCCCAGCAAATTTCAAAAAATCACATCACATAATTGTTGATTCTTCCTTTTCTTTGAATGTTACTAAAATCAGTAAAATGTCAATGTTATTTTTTTACTCCTTTTGTAATAATGCTTTCTTTATTATATAAAGAGTTTCGTGAGATCCTTCATAATTTTATTTGAATTTTTTACGTCAGATAGTCAGGCGGTTATCTAGAATCTAATATGAAAAATAATCATCGCTTAAATATTGAATTTAATTTAATTCAATTTGCTGTGAGTCCGTCTACCATTTGTTGGATTACAGAAACGTATTACATAGAGATCTAATATACAGAAATCCAGTTACATAGTAACATTTACGATGTTTAACAATAATATATAACAACTATATTTTTTGATGTTTTACAGTAAAGTACCACTCTTATTTATAATAATTAAATGTGTTTTATAATGCATTATAATATTATATTTCATACTTTAATTTAATAAATATGATATATTTTATTTTATAAATATTTATCCAATTAATATCAAAATTAAACATTATTTTTTTAATAATAAGTTCAGAAGCTCTTACTTTTAGATGCATTCGATTCACATGGCTTATTAAATGATGTTTTATTTTCGCAGCGTATGTACAGTCTTTGTAGTTGCATTTGAATGGTCTTTCTTGAAAATGTACGTTTTTGTGAATTAGTAAAGTTGAAGACTGAGAGAATTTTTTATCGCAAATAGTGCATACAAACGGTTTCTCATTAGTATGAACCCTCACGTGATTATCTAACTCCCATTTTGTACGAAATTTCTTTTTACATAAAGTACATTCATGTGTCTTTGTTTCATCCTTTAAAAAGTATTTGTTATGTAAATAATTATATATCATTAAAATTCTATTTATGTTTTCTGAAATATTTTCTCTTTATGTCTAATCAAAATAGTAAAATACATGTACTTTTTCCATATGACAAAGTTTTAAATTTTTCATTTTTTACAATTTTGAATAACAACGGTCGCCAAATAACAATGCAATACAAAACCGATTGAACGTTTCACTTACTTTTTCTGACTGCATTTATATATTTAATAATCCAAATTGTAAACCCAGTTTATAAATTTTGAAAAGATAAAAAACCAAGAATGCATTACAATAATGTGAAATTTGGCAATTGTTTTGTCAGATTGTCATATTGTNTTTTTTCGACATCATCTAAAATTTCAGATTTTTCATTTTTTACAATTTTTAATAACAAGGGTCGCCAAATAACAATGCTATACAAAACAGATTGAACGTTTCACTTACTTTTTCTGATTGCATTTATAGAATTAATTATTTAAATTTTAAATTCACTTTATAAATTTTTAAAAGATGAAACGCCAAGAATGCACTACAATAATGTGAAATTTGCCAATTGTTTAGTCAGATTGTCATATTGTTACTATAGGTTAGCATGAAAATTGTAACGAAACAGATTTAATGTTACTTCTTTTTAAATGTAAAGTGCATAAAGAAATAAACATTTTAAAGGTACAGTTTCTGAATGAATTTCGTAAATTGTTATCTGAATATTTTTTCGAAATCTGAGACGTACAAATTAAATAAAACGAATTTTTATTTAAGTGTCGAATGGGAAACATTGAATGTGCTCTAAATTAAAGGACCCTATTCTAGTAACAGAGTGCAGGAAATGTTTCAAAAGTAGAGCCTGTTGACTACTTAAATTATTTTTTCGCATTTATTAATGACAAGAAAAAGAAACTAAAAATAAAATCTTACAATTAGTTTTTAAAAACTCAAGTTACATTTACAGCACCAAATTCGCAAAAACGAACCTTGTTTATTTATTACTTTTTTGATAATCTAATGTGAGAATTGTCGAAATTTTAAAACTTAATTAGCATTGACCTCTGAATTGCTCTGAAAATATTGATATCAGTTCATGATTAGGGGAAGGGAGGGCAAGATAGAAGGTTTATCTTTATGATGTAAAAAAACATAAAACAACACAATATAAACCTTTTATTTTAATCAGTTTCGAAAGAGATCTTAGATCGTAATTAATCGTAATAAAATTTAAAAAAATCGTGTAATTAATACTGACGAAATCATTTAACAAAAAAGCTTTACAAAGATATAAGCATAATTAATTTTATCTTTCGAACGAATAGGTCATATTGATGAACCCATTGATATTATACGATTTCCTCAAAGCAGAATGTATGAGAGTGCCACACATTTAGCCTTGATAAAAGTGAAGGCGCTTATTCCTTGCAGCCACTGATTATCTCTGGTAAAAACAGCATGCAATCTTATAACACAATGCAGAATACGCTGTTGGTGTCGAAACGAGCGGCTCTTCTATTACACTGAGCTGCATCGTAAATTAACGTATGTCGAGGTATTCTCCAAACGTGTAGGTAGATATTTTAATTTTAACTAAGTAGTTTTAATTTTTATAATATCATAATGACATCAATTGACGTCTATTACTTTACCAGCTCTTATTCATAACAAAAGGAAAGTATGACTATAGGTCATAATATGACTCTCGAATATTTTTACATTTTTGTACTTAGTGGAAGTTCCAACGCCGAGAAACGCAAAAATAAATGGAGAGCTTTTTCGTATGTATAGATTTTGGGTACGTGTGTGAAAAAGATTTAGGGTACATGTGAAAAGGGACCGATTTTGTTCATTCATTTTGGAGTTTTTTTTTCTGTGTTTTTGTCAATAATTTCTGAAATTTGATAAGTAAGTTTGTGTATTATTGGAATCAAAGTTATTTAACTTTGGTCATAAAAGATGGACTGGGTAGAGGATAGATGACGACATATGTCATGTACAAGTAAGTGCGATTCAATATACGTTTTATTCGTTGTTAGCTTTTAATTATTATTTTATTTTATAATACTCTACCCTTAAAATTAAGCTTTTTGCAATTCAATCTTTTGCAAATTTTTAATAATATAAGAATTTTTAAAATTAAATCAGATGATTCAATCAAATTAAAACAGGTGATTTAAAATGCAATCTGAATCCTTGCCAAAAAAGTTTAGTAACGATATTCCTTCTTTATTGGTTTATTATTTAAAGCAATAATTAGCTCAATGTTTAATATAAATTTTCTAATAGATTATTTTGTACGCTTTTGAAGAAACAAATTTTTCAATTTGAATAAGGTGGAAAAAGATTTTTAAAAATCAAATGAAGTAATCTTCGTTATTCAATGTTCTTGAATTGTTTTGACGTTCATGGTTTATCCAAATCCGAAGTGTTTTGTTTGTCTGTCTCTAGTCTCCTTCTCATTTGGAGAAGAATTTCGGCAGCACTTAATACAGCTTGATCCATTGTTGTTTGATGATCCAAGGTTTGACTAGAAGACTGCAAATTTGATTTCAGTTTTACTTGTTCTATACATTCCTTAAAAAATAAAAGTACTTTTATTTAATACAATTCCATTTATTTAGTTATATATTATACATTTATCAAAATTATCAAAATTTATCAATATATATACATTTTATCAAAAGCATAATAATAATAAAGATTACCATTCCATGTATCTACGGATGATTACTTGGTAGATTTATAATAAATATTGGAATATATAAGTAAACTAGCAGATAAGCCTGGCGTCGCTCACGCAAAAAGTACCGATAGCGAAGATTAAGATTATTACATTGTAGCCAATCTCTCTCGTTTTCACAGAATGCAAGAATTAGGTCTCCCTGATTCCAGACTTATTAGAGTATTTTTAGATGGGTCTAAAAATATGTTTGATTTCCCTCAAAAACGCGAAAAAAATCGCGTCTGAGCCTGAGAATTTTGCACGTCGCTTGTTGACACTTCCATTGCTTGTTGACATTCCATCGCTTGTTGACACTTCCATTGTTACTTAAAACTTCTATTGTTACATAACACTGCCATTGTCGATACTTTTATTGTTACTTAACACTTCCATTGTTGAAGCCTTAATCCTGTCCCTCTCTACCGCNAATCCTTTCTTAGTGTGCGTTTCCATGACGTACCCTAACTGTGTACCAAATTTCACCTCTTTAGGTTAAGCGGTTTGCTCTGGGCGATGATGAATCAGTGAATGAATGAGTGAGTCAGTCAGGACAAGCAATTTTATATATTTAGATTTTATCAAAAGCATAATAATAATAAAGATTACCATTCCATGTATCTACGGATGATTACTTGGTAGATTTATAATAAATATTGGAATATATAAGTAAACTAGCAGATAAGCCTGGCGTCGCTCACGCAAAAAGTACCGATAGCGAAGATTAAGATTATTACATTGTAGCCAATCTCTCTCGTTTTCACAGAATGCAAGAATTAGGTCTCCCTGATTCCAGACTTATTAGAGTATTTTTAGATGGGTCTAAAAATATGTTTGATTTCCCTCAAAAACGCGAAAAAAATCGCGTCTGAGCCTGAGAATTTTGCACGTCGCTTGTTGACACTTCCATTGCTTGTTGACATTCCATCGCTTGTTGACACTTCCATTGTTACTTAAAACTTCTATTGTTACATAACACTGCCATTGTCGATACTTTTATTGTTACTTAACACTTCCATTGTTGAAGCCTTAATCCTGTCCCTCTCTACCGCGGGGAGATGGAATTTCAAAAAATCTCTATATATTGCTCGTTCTCGTGACGTACCCTAACTGTGTACCAAATTTCAACTTTCAACGCCTAACCGTTTGGGCTCTGCGCTTATTATAATCATCAACCCGTCTCGATTATATATATAGATAACTAGCTGTTACCCGCGACTTCGCCCGTGGGGGTTTTGCAAGCAAACCCTAATTATATTCAGTATTTCAACACCATATTACAGGGGTGGCCAACCTGCTGCTCGCGAGCCACATGCGGCTCTTTGAAGGATTATTTGTGGCCTGAGGCGGCCTTAGAAGGTGGCGAGCAGGGCAATCGCCCGGGGCCTCGCTCTTGCAGGGGCCTCGCGCAACAGTTCGAATAGAAAAAAGTTGATATTTAAAACTTTTTATTTTATCCTTAGCTATTAGTTAAAACGATGAAATTAATTTGATTAATTCATAGTACAGTATATATTATTAATAAGTGCCTAAATAAAATTTCTCATTTAGATTTGAATAATTACAGTTTGAATAATTAAATATTAAAAGTGTTCTATCCTGTAAATAAAACAAACACGCATTCTTAACTCTTTCCTTCTTATGAGCATTTTGTCAGGCCCATTAAGTTTTTGATTAAACCTAAATGGGTTGTAAATGAGCAAGCTTAACACATTCTTAATGTATTACGCCTATCAGGCTGAAGTTTTAATCGCATTTGATATTTTTTCATAAAGTAAATCACATATAACGCGAAAATGCAAGCTAACAATTAATCAAAATCATGCTGTAATCACTCCAAAAAAGAAACATAAAATTATATTATGCTCTAGTGATCTAGTAAATAAGACAGGAAATTCAGAACGAAAGAAAAACGAAGATACCAGTTATATGATCTGAACATACATTGATCCTCATCCTTCACGAAGAACAACTTTATAATTGTCATATTTATTTACATTTAGATATTAGAGTAGGCCTAAATAGATTTAATGAAAAATATGTTATATATGAGAATTAGTTTCATATATATGTTCCTTCATTGTGGCAAAAAATATTACCACAAAAAAGAAAAAACTACTTCATAATAAATTAAATGAAAACATTTGAAAGAATTTTTTATAACATGATGCAGTATATATCAGTTAGAGTTTATGTGTGAATTTCTTTACACAAAATTACATTTAGATAATTAATCATTAATTTCCGTACTAATTAACGTCATATGCTATTTTAATTAAAATTTAAATTAAATTAAACAATACTTCAAAAAATTTTAAAAAGTAACACTTAAAACAGAAAACACTTTTATGTTAATACCAAAAGCAACCCGACTCCTTTTTATACTTTTAAATTTTAAATTGCCATAGCCTATTGCAATATAGTGTATAAAATAAATTACATATTTAAATACCTGGGACGAAGATTCAGTTACCGCATTCGAATGCATTATTGCAATGTGCCGTTTTAAATGAGCCTTTTGTTTGAATGCCATCTTACAGATCTCGCACAGAAATGGTCGTTCTCCTGTATGAGATCTCACATGCCTTTGTAATTGTGATTTACATGGAAAGTCTTTAAAGCACGTGTCACATTGATATTTTCTTTCACTCGGGTCTTCCGATGAACTCTAATTATAGAATTATTTCAAAATGTATTAGATATTTAATTAAAACATTTTAATTTCGAATTAATAATATTGTCCAAGTTATTTGATTTTACTTAACTCCCAAGGAGCGCTTCATGTGATGGTTATATTCTGTTGGTCATTTCAAAATCGGATAACTGTTAGTTACTGGTTTTCTTTTCTTTGACCTGGCAGCCATTTTTATAAAGTTATTCTGTTTGGGTACCTCTGCTATTTAAGTGGCGGCAAATGCTTTAAAAAATTTTGGAAATTGAGAGAAAAAAAATTAATTTTTTATAAATGGAAAGAACCAGAGTGTTCCTAAATTAAATGATGTTTTTTTTTTGTTTATGTTTCTCTACTAATATCACAATAAAATTAAACGAACTTAATAATCAGCTTGAAGGTGAAAAAAAATNATACAGGTAACCCCCGTATAACACGGCACTTCTATAGCACGGATTCGCTCTAACACGGTTCGAGAATTGGTACCATCCCCCGTATAACACGGTACTTTTATAGCACGGATTCACTCTGACACGGTTCGAGAATTAGGTAAAACCCTCGTACATGAAATGTAATAAATTTTTGCATACTTAAGTAATAATAGTTCACGAAAATTATTATTTTCGTGAACTATTATTACTAATACTAAGTGAACTAGTACTTAGTAATAATTTTCGTGAACTAGTACTTAGTAATAATTTTCGTGAACTATTAGTTCTTAAGTATGTAAATTTTTTCTTCTCGCTTTCTGTCGATACACGTGGTCCTTCTCGAAACTTGTTTCAATGTTGCCAGATC